AATGAGTTCTAACTGCGGAAACAGCAGTAGGCTTCCGTTATGTATAAAGGTAGAGGGATTTTTGATCAATTGAATATGGCTCAATTGCTGAAGGAGGCCCCTAGATTACAGAGACCAGCTATTCTCGTAATAAGCTGTATCTATTTCGTGGGATCAGAGGCATTTCCTTTGCTGATTCCAGTTACAAGAAGGGAAATACATAAAAGCAGGGCTTTGTGGTCTGTGAAGTGGTTTTATTGTGTAGATCCAGTGGTTAAACCCTAGCATGTAACTACGACCCAATACAAGGCTAAAAACTTCTATTGTTAAACGCTTATATTTTCAGCATGATTTCAAGCAAAATTTTATTTTCACATATTTTAGGAATGAAAATATAACAGAATAATGAACCAAACATTGGAAAGATTGCAATATGTTATATACGTACATCTGTTTCGAAATAAAATTTATAATAGCTCATAAATGAGATAAAAGTAACAAGAAAGTAAAGTTGGTCTTTAGACACTTTGCCTAATACAAGGTAAAATGTAAAATCGTCCCTGTGCTTAACTAACTAAGCACTACGCCATGAAGACGTATGGGGGAGTGGATGTATAGATCCACATTTTCTTGGCCTCGGCACTGGTTGGAGGTGAGTGATCAGCTTCATTCCCAGGCCGCTTCACCCCTGGTACCCATTGGATAGGAGGTTGGGTGGACCCCAAAGACAGTGAAAATTCTTGACCCTACCGGGACTCGAACTCAGACCTCTATGTAATACATATAAAGAGAATATAAACTCCAATTCAGAAAACATTCTCGACAGTTACAAATGAATAAATTTTATATAGTTGAAGGAAGATGTATATAAGACATGTGAGAAGAGATAAATACACGTACATATAAAAACTTTAACTGAAGAACCTAAAAGAAACATTCCAATTAATATGTCTAGACGTAGTACTAAATATAATATTAAAAAGGACTGCTTTGAAACAGGGTGTGAAGGTCAGTTAGTTCAATATAGGGCTCAGTGATGTATCTTACAGACAAGCTGAAAAATCTTTGGCTTCTCTAAAATGCCTAGAAGGTTTTGACTTTCCGAGCGACAATTGATTTCCCAAAAACAATTCGCTCCATGAAGTTAGTATTATGAAAAAATAGGGTACGAATTTGATGAATCAGCTCCGGTCACTTCATCCCCTTGCGAGAGAACAACCAGTACCCATTTGACAGAATTCCCAGAGCTGGTCTTGTGGCTTTGGCGAAGGTTAAAGTACTTACCCTTGCTGGGAATCGAAGCCTAGTCGTCCAGCCTGCAGCCAGTCACGTTAATGAGTTATTCCCACTTACCCGCTTCGTTATGTAACGCTGTGAGTTAATGTAGCAGTAATGGAAGCAGCGCTGTGTATCCATCAACTGGATTCAAAGCGTGGGTATTTCCTGCACGATTTCCTCTGCCTGAAAAAAAGACCGGTTGTGCATATGGAATTGCCATGACGTATTCGTGCTTATACCCCCCCTTAAAAGAAAAATAAACTGAAAGAAAAATTCCTCATAAAGAGAACGACGCTAGTAAAATATGTTTTCCTTCCTCTGAAACTTCAGTTCTCTTTTACAACAGGTTATGTGGGTTTATCCCGAGTTCAAGAATAATAGGCTGTTTTAAAAATGCTAAGAGAAAGCTGTCATTTATCCTACTTGTCGCTCTAACGCCATGAGCCCCGCAATTCGTAGCTCCAATACAATATTTCCCGAAGTTCTCTATCTGAAAGTGCCCTAAAATATATCTCAGTAATTCATTGCATACATAAACATGTGTTATTGCAGTAAGGACACAACTTATGTACATAGAGCCTACTTAAAACTCAGTCATAGCTAACTAAGAAGCTCCATTAGCAGAGTCCTTCTTGAGAAGTTAATAATTATCCTGCTAGTAAAGAAATTCACGGCATTCTATGAATTCCTGGGGGTTTGTCACAGTGGATATAAACCTACCTCCCCTCCAGACGTTATCCTGAGCCAGGAAGATCCAATCCATATGCTGCAATTCCATTTCTTTATTGTACATTTTAATATTATCCTCCCATCTACGCCTAACGTCTACGCTTTCAAATTATACATTTCAAGTAGTGACTTCAGCTTCGTAGCGTATGGACGTATTCGACTGCTCCGGCTAATAAATGCACCACGAAGCTTTCTGTACACATTCCGTGCGGTTCAACAGCCTACAGTGCCTGCTCGAGACAACTCTACAAGAACAAAAACAGCTGAGAGTGCCGCTGACACCAAAAGGGTATCGTTATCTAGTTATTTAATTGTTATACAAGGAAGATGGTGCAACACTTATACTTCAGGAAGGAATTAACAATAATAAGAGATCAGCCAGGTGGCTGGTGTCAGTATTCCCTTAGACACGTTCCCAACATCTCAACAATTTCCGTCTATGGGATATGCAGATCCCAAATTTCAAAACCAAACCTACTGGCAACAACCAGGACACTATGTACTGAATTGAACCGCCTTATCAGCCCCTACACATCACCAGTAACAACAACCATCTTTCTCACACCAACCAGGTAACCAGAATTTCAGTACCCAAAATATTCTAAAACTTCCAAAAATGAATCTAACTGCAACAGCTGAAAACTACGATCTAGTAATTGACTCTAGTAATTACGAGCATGAAACTAACGCTGCAGCAAAGGAACAAAAGAACTCGTGGCAGCTAATCAAGAAACGCAAGAGAAAGAAACAAAATGAAGAACCCAGTACTCCCACAATCGCGCCAACAGAAGTATAAAACCGGTACAACCCGCTAACAACCAGGACCGAAAGCGATACTACTGAAACAAATGGAACTAATAATCCACCAAAGATACCAAAGCCACCTCCGATATTCATCTTTTTTTTCCTCCCCCTTGGCACTACAGCCCCAGTGGGCCTAGGCCTACCTCTATGAACTTCTCCGTTCACTTCGGTTTTTCTAGATCTTACACATTCGGTAGGACTCCTTGGGCTGGTGATTAGCTCGTCGCAAGGCCTCTACCTGTACACAAACACAGAAAAACGCACACAAACATCCATGCCCTGAGTGGGATTCGAACCCACGATCATGGTTTCCAAGCTAGCGAAGACAGTACATGCCTTACACCGCTCGGCTACCGAGACCGGCGCCGATATTCATCTACGGAGCCAAAATTTTCAAGGAAATGATAAAAAGCATTTCTGATGCAACATGGACAAGAAGCATATTACACCAAAACCCTCTCAGATGAAACTGTCAAAGTTAGCGCATTTACAATAGATACATATAGAAAATTGATAAAACACTTAAAAGAAGAGAACATCATCCACTACACATACCAACTTAAAGAGGAACGTGCCTACAGAGTTGTCATAAGGCACCTCCACCACTCCATCCCAACTGAAGAAATCAAACTGGAATTAGAAAAGGCGGGTCATAAAGTTCGCAACATAACGAACGTTACAAATAGAGTAACTAAGGAACCATTAGCGTTGTTCTTCGTAGACCTAGAGCCTCAACACAACAACAAAGGAATATTCAAACAAGAATTCCTTTACAACACCAACTGCAACGAGCAGCTGATAATATCGCCACCTGGACACGTAAATGGCGTATCAAGCTCAATGAAACCAAATCTACGTACATCAACTTCACCAAGCAAAAGATTAATCAGCGATCAACCTCGCTAAATGGTGTAAGAATGCCACCTGCCAACACAGCAAAGTACCACCTCGGAATGACACTTGACGCCAAACTCTGATGGAAGGAGCATATTGAGAAGAAGAAAGAGGAACTGCAAATCAAATTTCGAAAAATGTACTGGCCGACCGGACGTCATGTACAACAAGCTGCTCCTGTATAAACAAACGCTGCGACCAGTCTGGACATATGGCGTCCAACTGTGGGAATGTGCGAAAAAATGCAACATCGAAGTAATCCAACGATACCAGAACAAAGAACTAAGACGCATAGCAGATGCGCCCTGGTATGTACGCAACAGGGACCTCCATCGAGACCTCAGTGTCGAAACAGTCGCATCCATTATTGCAAGATACGCCACCTCACACGAAAACCGACTTCGACAAGACGTCAATGAAGAAGCGTCCAGGCTCCTAAACGTGGGAAACCTAACCAGGCGACTCAAACGGACCAAACCTTACGAACTAGCCAAGCAGCCCGACAGGTAAGAGATCCGATGGGCGAACTTAACTTCATATAATCTTAGTAACTTAGTGTCAAATTTAAACAGATTGTTAGTTCAAGCGAACTAGTCTTTGTAACATTTTGCTTACATCTTGTGGCAGCCAATAAATAAAAGAAAACTTAAAAAAGATTCATGTCCCACTTATCTCTGAGTCCCATTTCACCGAACTGACAACATTCAACATACCGCAGTACATCACCTACAGCACTCCCCACCCGGATGGCACCGCCCATGGAGGCTCAGTAATAACACAGGTCTGCAAAAATATTTCTTTTTTCAGCTGCATGGAATATTTTTGGTAAACTTTATGTTTTCTAGGATGCTGAATCCAAAAATGACCTCAATTTCCCCCTATCACGTACGGGTTTTTGGAAAATAATAGGGGTTTACAATAAAAAATCATATAAGT